GGCTCACCTGTATCCTGAAGTACCATCAGAAACAAGATGCACCAGTAACTGGAAGAAGGAGCTCCCTGTGCCCTTCTCCCCATCCTCCCTTCCTCTCTACTGCACCCCATCTCCACCAGCAGTCAATGCCCAGGGAAGGCAAACCGAGAACAGACCAGCACAGCTGATGACACTGTCCCACAGGACAAATACAAAAGGGAAAAGTCCATCATCCTCACTCCCCATCTTTCTCATTCTTCTACCCCAGTCGTAATGCAAACACAGCAGATGGTGTTCCTCTCTGTATTCTGCCTCCTATGGGAGTGGGGGGCATTAAAAATAAGTGATGCATTTCAGAAAGCAAGCCACATGCTTCCCCCTGGGTTTCATATGGTCCACCTTTTACCTCTAGTTTATGGGGAGGCCTCCCAAGATGTGGAAACCAGCATGTGACCCCTGCGTTTTGAAGAGGGCCATGGCTATTTCTACCCAAAAATCATTTCCTAAGTCAGAGAGAAAAAACTCACATACCCCGCCCCCTCAAAGGAAGCCATCCAATTTCTTAATTATATTTGGATATAAAAAATATTACCCAATCTGCCCATTCAGTAGGTCATATGTACACAAGTAACCTTGAGGCAGGGAAACTTTTGACTTATAGAAGACTTGCCTTTCAACAAAGAGATGATTACCACCCAAGGATTCAGTGAGCGTTCAACCATTTTATCTCACTGAAAAAACTCAAGATCCTTTAACATACTTCTGGTAGAAATATAATGTAAATCACAATTTTCCCCCTAACATTTGGTCATTCCTTCCAAAGATATTCTGAACCTAATATAATTATTTTTAAAAGGTATTAAGAACTGAACTGAGTAAACAGAGATGGAGAAGTGGAGTGAAAAGGAGGAGAAGTCCTATCAAAATCTAAGGGAGTGATAATCTCAGCAAAGAGGGAAGAAAACTGTGTCCTGTTATCAGGAGAGACTACATTGCATACTTTCTATTGATACTATGTTGCATTTCTATCTTTTAAATGCAAATCTGTTTAACAAGGAGTGAAGTTAAGACACTTCACTTTATGGGTTAGGCAGATTTTCCAAAACAACTAAAAATTCTGTTATTAATAAATGAAGTACGGTGATGTTACTCACAGGTACCCTCTGGAAGGGAAGGTTTAACCAGAACACACAGGTAAGGGACAAGAAGTTCGCCCAGATGAGCTGCCATCTGACACCAGAGTTGGTCAGACAGCATGAACTTCAATTAAAAGACACTTACAAAAGACATTATTTAAATATGATAATAAAAACAAAACAAACTTAACACCCTACTTTCCTGGGTCAAAGGACACAGAGGACTCAGAAATTAATTAAATCTAGTAAATAATGCAAAATGGGAAAGAACTCCTTTTCAAAAACGCTTCAGTTAATTTTAGCATCCTTCTGTTTAGCTGCTTAGCAACCCTTATCCTATGACCTTTTGAGCATCACCTACTTTTCAGAAGGATAATGAATAGACACATCAAAAGGATTCACTTCTAACTGTTTCTAGTAAACACATTTAACCAATTTTGTAGAAACTAAATTTGTTAATTATGACATACAAAACCCTAAGAGTAGGATTTTTTAAACTTTATAAATCAGAAAATATCCTTTGCTGAAGGCAATAAATGATGTTGACAACTGAGCATAAGATAGCAAGTAAAGATTTCCAAACTGGCCTAGGAAGTGAACCAACACAGCAATTCAAAAACTGTACATAAAAATGAAAACTACATAATGAAAGCAACTAGCTACTGTAACTAATAAACAGCTGTTGATCAGGTGCAGAATTAACAAGGCTAGCTTTATTCTCAATATTCTGTGCCTGTCTTGGATGCAAATAAGACCTCAGGGGTCAGCCTGAAGAAATCTAAAATAAAAGACCCTCGAGTCAAAAGGTCACCTGTTGGATGATGTGAGCAATTTGGAATGGATGCAGCACCTGTGCCAGCTGAGTCAGACCCACATTCCCCATCAGTAACACTTATCTGCCCATAGGGCTTAGATTCTGATTTTCTGATGAGAAATAAGTAGCATCTACAAAAACCCAGAGATTCATGTGCCATATAACAGTAAGCAGCAGCAGCAGCAGCCATTTAAGAGTATCACATAACCAGCAAATCCTCTTTAAAAACAAAACATCCTAAAATGCAACCAGCTTAGCAGTATTTTTCAGAATGATAAAACAATGCAAATTCATTAACAACCTAAAATGGAAGCACAAGCTAAACAAGTAACTAAATCAAAGGGTTCTCCCATTCTTTTGTAAAAATGGGGTAGGAGGGAAGGTATTTTTTCACACATTTAAAACTTGATAAAAGCCATTCAAATGTTTAATTCATCAGTGTAACCAAAGCTCAAAACACATCAAAGCAGGATCCATCAGCCGGTACCCAGAAGCCTCCCTCCAAAGAGCAGCAATAAAAAAAAAACAAAAACAAAAATAACTCTAAAATTAGTGGTTCACCTTTGCATAAATTTGAAGAATAATTTCGAACTCAGTCTTTCAAAAGTTTTGTGCCTCTTGAAGGAAGCACAGAACTAAACGTTTGAAAAAAAAAAAAAAAGGAGAAGAAGAAGAAGAAGAAGAAAGAAGTTTCAGCCAAGACTTCAGTCTTAGACTTCCGGGTTACATTATGTGTTAGAACCATACCTGCCTACTCGAAAAGGCACCAGATCTGGGGGATGCTTTTTAAGGACTGTGAAGGTGGTGGTGGGGGTGGAGGAGAGGGACAACCCCTCAAGAAAACACAAACATTCTTTTCCTTGCAGTTCCTTCTTTTCCACCTTCCACTCCAATTAAACTTACTTCAGAATACACTCACGCACATGCACAGACCACTGCACATATAAAGAAAATTCTCAAAAATATGGGATGCACATTAGCAACCCAGTCTTTGCATAAATCATCTTAAGTCTCCTCTTCAAGACAGAAATACTTCGCTATTTCCAGCATCCCTATCCAACAGCAATCTTTATTTCCATTGGCTTTCAAAAGGCTAAGCTTAAATCTAAATTCTAAAACAAGCATGAGGGTTAACAACACTACTGATGAAAATCCTTGGACAGGTTTCTCAGGATATAAAAAAGTTGTATTTTTTATACACCCTCTATCCCTGTCCTCCACCATCACCATCACCCACCCCCAAAGAAGAAAAAACTCCAAAGTGCCCCGAATGTGTGCTGCTGCTGGCTCTGAAGCCGTGTAGAATTTCGTAATGGAATGTGAACTGCTCGTCCGGATCTGGGCTCACGTTCTATCTTCTTAACCAGTAAGGAGCGAGGACTGGCAAATCTGCTGAGCAAGGAGAAATACTTTCCTCCTCTTTTATAACCATCACGGATGCATCGCGAACGCTGGGAGCGAGCTGCACCACGGCGCCTGTCAACCAACCGGCCCGCCTGAGGGTCTTCGAGTCCCCTGCGCCCCACCTCTACCCACCCGCAACCGCCGGAAAAGTAAAGTAGCCCCACCGAGAAGCGGGCTCGATCGCCGCGTCCCGCACTCACGCACCTCGCGCGGCCCCAAGAACAGTCAAGGAACAAGTCACCACATCCTCGACTCGACCCTCGGCCGGGTTCAGAAAACACGCCGCTTCCCAGGGAGGGGGCAGGCGACGGGAAGGACCTCCCCGCTCCTTAGCAACCATTAAGGTCGCAGTTTCCTAAGAAACCGCGAGCAGGGAGGGGGCTCGGGGGGCTGAGCCCGAAGCTGGGGTGGGGGGGGGGGCGGGAGCGCTGGGTCCCCAGCCTCTGGTCGCCGCTCCCCCCGCCCCCACCCCCTCGCCGGGCGCTGCGGGCCGGGATGGGAGGAGGAAGGAAGCCCCAGGAGCTCGCAAAAAATTGGTCCAGCGGGCAGCGGACAAAAGTTTCCGAGAGCGCTCCACAGCTGGGCGGCGAAGCGGGCCCCGGCAGCCGGCCCCGCCTCGGATGCTCCCGGCCTCCTTCCTGTGCTCGTGACGGCGCCGGGCGCCGAGCCCCCCCACCCCCCACCGCGATGCAGGCTCAGCTCCACACCGATGGCTCCCACGAAAACACGTACACCGCCAACCGAAAGGCAAGGGAACAATACGCGGACAGGGCTCCGGCCCCGGCAGCCCGTGGTCACCCAGGACGGTGGTCCGCGTGACCCCTAGCCACGAGCCCGGAACGGGCGAGGGAGCAGGGCTGCCCGCGGCCCCCTCCCGGCCGGCGCCGTCCGCCAGGGAGGATCAAAGTCCGCAAAGCAGGGCGCGGCGGATGCTCCCACCACGCAGCCCTGAGTGGCACCCCCGAGCCGGCACCCTAGGCAGGCACCCCCAGATACCTTGCGGCAGCAGGCGGGCGCCGTCATCTCCGCGCCGCTCGGCCCGAGAGGGACTCGAAAGTATGTAGGAGAAAAGTTTCCCCTCCCACATGGGGGGGGGAGGATGTCGGGGGAGCGAGGGCGGAAGATGGAGAGCAGCGCTGGGAAGATGTTTCAGGCAGTGGTGCGTGCACCATCCGAGTCCCCGCCGCGGTGGTTAAAAATAAATTGGGCGGCGGGCGCGGCGGCGCGGGTCGGGCCGGATTCCTGCGCTCGGACGGCTAATATGGATGCGCATCAGGTCCCGGCGGCGGGGCGCTGCGGCGGCCGCGGCGGCTCGCGCTGGGAGCTGGTTGGCAGAGACGGCAGCTCGGGAAGGGGAAAGGAGCGGAGGAAGGGGAGGAGGAGGGGGAGGAGGGGGAGGAGGAGGAGGAGCGGCCCGGCGCGCAGCCCGAGGGGAGAGGGCTGCCCAGCTCATCCTCCGCCAGCCCCACCGCCCCGAGAGCACGTAGCGCGGCGTAGGGCGCTCGGGTCCTCGACTCCGGGAAACAGCAAGTTTGAAAAGTACGACGCGCTGTGCAGACTTCACCCTCCCCATCCCCAAAAGTTCTTTAAAAGGTCGCTCCCACTCAGCCCCAGACATCTCGCTGCCACCCGCGTCCAGGGAGCCGGAACCCCGGGCGCGTACTTACGGCCGGGCAGGGCGCTCGGCTCCCAGGCATGATGCCGTGGGGACCGGTGGGCTTCGGGGAGAGAACGAGGAGAGATGCAAACTTGTTCCGGAAAAGGAATCAAAATGGCGTTTCTGGATGTGCAAAGTTCATCAACTCCGAAGTCACTTCCCCTCCTCCTCTTCTCCCACAGGGAGGGAGGTGGGCGAGGAGCCGGCGACCCCGGCGCCCTAGCCGACGTCCAGGCCCCCGCTTCGGCCCCCAGCCCCGCTTCCCCGCCCGCACGCTCGGAGACTCGCTCTCCCCCTCTCACCCTGATAAGTAGACACATCACGTGTTGCTCCTGCCAGTCTCCTGGGGACGTGTTACAGAACCTCCGCAGCGGCGGCTCGGGCTGGGGGTGGGAGGGACCGCGGTACCCGCCTGTCTCCCCCGCCCCAATTTTAGCGGGGTGACCACCGTTTCCATTCCAGGATGGATGGAGGTGGAGTCGCCCACCCCACCCCCACCGCAGCCCCAGGTTTGCCCCAAGCCCTCCGCAGTCGCCCCGGGCCAGGGGGTAGGTCGGGCTGCCCCAGGGCAAGGGTCTCAGCGGCCGCAGCTGAGCTTCATCCCAATCAGCTCAGCGATCGCAGGCTGGCCACCTTTTAGGACCACCGTGCTCCCTCCCCTCCAGCCCCTCACCGCAGGCGACTCTCCGCCCCCAGCTTTCCATCACTTTACTCCGTGGTTTGTTCCACTATTTTAACGGAGGAGAGGAGAGAGGTAGCAATGCCACAGAGGCGTCAGGGGGGAGCCTCGGAGGCCCGCAGGGGGTGGCGTGGGGGTCCAGGTGCCTGGCCTGGCGCCGCCCCTCTGGATCTCGGAGGTCAACGGTAAGGCGAACCCCACCCATGCCGTTCCCTCCCCACGAGGTTCTCGCTCCGCATCCAGGTGAGGCGAGTAGATGATGGGGCAGGAGATTAAGGAACTGGCTCTTCACTTGGCCCCCAGTTTCGGGCTGTTTTTTGCAGGGGGCGGTACTTGGTACTTTCAGCTTTGGTGCCGCCATCCGGGAGCGTGTTCCCCGTCCAACAAACATCGCTGACTTGGCCCTTGTCACTTTTTCCTCACCACTTTCCACAACTGATGCTTAGGCGGGAGCTGCCGGCCCCCAAGGGGCAGAAGGGCAAAGGTTTCTAGGGCCATAGTGTCCCCCCACCCCACGAATGAACGGCTGATGCTGTGTTATCCACATCACCCTCCTAGGCGTCAGGGAAGCCACATGCAATATCTCTTTCTCTCAGAGGGCTCCTGTTTCAACTCTGAAAAGCAGGGGCCTCCTCCGAGCCACTCTCCATCTCTACAGCTCCCTCCACCATGCTTAACCCTGGCTGCTGTGGCCCAAATTATCACGGAGCCCAGGGAAACCAGGCCTGGGCTGTGCTTCCTCCTTAAAGCAGCTGACATGTTTCCAACTGTTAATACTTTTCCTACCGAGGTTCTGAAAGGGCCTGTTCTCGGCCTTTGGAAACAACTTCAGACAGATAAAGGGTGACTGTGGTTGTGGAAAATAAACACCACCACACATCCCAAATCCTAAAGACAAATATGCTTCCTAACTGGTTGCAGAGAATACCACTGTAGAATTATGCACTTGAGACTAGTTAGGCAAGATGATGTTATACATGTACAGAAAGGTCCCTACTCTACTTACTATGACCTTTGACCATGACTCCACCACACCAGCTCCTCTGAAGACACCTGCACACCAGACAAAGTTTTAGGCCCAATCATAGGCCTTTAATTTCCAGCCTTCAGTGGCACTCCAGTTTTCAGGGCTGCAGATAGAAGTGTCTAACTAGGGATGGACTAAATGGATGGGTTCTGGCCAAGACAGAACTCTCTAGAACCTAGCAAAAACAGTTGGACTGTTACCTCTGACTTAAGATAAGGCTAAACCACTGCCCAAGAGGGAACTGATTCAGCTGGTTGTATCTCTGATGTCCAGATTCATCAAAATTAAGTTTTCAGAACCTGTTATTTTTCCCATGGTCTACTGTTTACTGAGGAAAACTCTGTGCAAAGAAGCCTTAACACTTGAATTTTTATAAGTCTCTCCTACCCCATGTCCCCAAGTGTATTATCAAATGCTTGTTTGAAGATAGGTCTGCCTTAAGAGGAAATGGCAAGTCTTTAAGCAGGAGTAATAGTTCACACAGTCACCACAGAATTGGTGTCTGGAGCTGCCAAGTTGTAACGTGTTCCAGTGACAAGGCAAAGAAGGGTCCTGTAGGGAATGCTACTTTATTCATTTGCTCTGTCCTGGACTCAGGAATTAGCCCCTCCTGGTTTCCTCATTCAGTGGTAGAGTCTGAGTAGGAAAAACATCGAAGTTGGAATTCTGCTTGTGATTTAGCTTATTCTGTAGAATACATTCAAATCTGCAAAGCTACATGAATTTTTCATGACAAATCACCACCTTTATAATGTCACCCAGGTAACACTGGCAACTAAAAAGAGACAACAGTTTAAAAGTAACTTTAAAAAACTGAATTCTAATGATGCTGGACACTGTGTTCATCTTTTCTAGCTAATTAATAAACTCGCAAGTCAAAGGATCTGTTGAAAGGTCTGTTTGTTCATATTATATATAAAGATCATTTATCTGACAAATATTTATCAAAATATCTAGTAGGTAAAAAGAGTCATGGTATCAAAATCACAATGAGATGCTACTTCATTATCCACTAGGATGGCTAAATCAAAAACACATAGTAACAAGTGTTGGCAAGTGTGTGGAGAAACTGGAACACTTGTGCATTGCTGGTGGGAAGTAAAATGCTGCGGCCACTTTTGGAAACAGCTTGTCAATTACTCAAATTTTAAACATTGAGTTACCACATGACCCAGGTATTCCACTCCTATGTACATACACAAGAAATAAAACATATGTTCACATAAGAACTTGTACTTGAATGTTCAGAGCAGCATTATTCATAATAGCTTTTTAGTAGAAGCAACCCAAATACCTGTCAACTGATGAATAAACAAAATGTGGTCTATCCATACAGGGAATATTATACAGCCATAAAAATGAAGTGCAAATATATGCTGCAACATGGCTTAATGTAGAAAACCTGATAAATGAAATAAGCCAGACTCAAAAGGACAAATATTGTATGGTTCTGTTTCTGTGAAAAGTCCAGACTAGGCAAATCTACAGAGACAGAAAATAGTTTGCTTAGGGCTGAGGGTTTGGGGAGAAATGGGGATTGACTACTCATGTGTAAGAGGTTTCTTTTAAGGGTGATAATAAGTGTTCTAAAATTGATTGTGGTGATGACTGCACAACTCTTAATATGTTAAAAACCATTGAATTGTATACTTTAAATATGTGAATGGTATGGTATGTAAGTTATATCTCAATAAAGCTGGTATGTGTATACATATATGAAATTGTGTGAGGTTCTGTAGTGGAGAAGCCATACAAAAATGGATAATTTATGATCTGTACCTTAAAAGAGTTCACAACCTAATTTCTGTACATGAAGTAATCATGAAATGCAAATCCACAACATATCATAAGAACCATTAAATAAGTACAAAATTCAGGAGTTCAGAGAAAAAAGGTTACTTCTAATAAGAATAACTGGAGAAAACTTCATGGAAGAGAAAGCAATGGAACTGAGCCCTGGAGAATGGCTAGAAATTATGTAGATGGAGATTGGATTAGAAACAACAGGTACAAAGGCATGACTGTAGCAAGTCATGGGTCCTGTTTGGAGATCAGTAAGGATTCCAGTGTGGCTGGATTATAATGTATACAGGAATATAGAGATGATGAGACTGAGAGGTAAGCAAGCTGAAGCTGCCCCACAAGGATTTTTAATACAACCCATGGAAAACCTTAGGTATGAGGATGAACTAGGGTAGAGATAGAGGGAATGGAGAAGAGATTATCAAGAACCACTTCAGAGGAGGAAGTGATAGAATATCAGTTGATAGACTGGGAATGCAGAGGTGAAGAAGTGAGGGCCAGGATAATGCCTGGGTCTTAGCTAGGTGACTGAAAGAATGAATGACAAAATGAGAAGGTCAGGGGTGGCAGCACAATGAAGTAGAAGGTGACAGACTAGGTGATATTGAATTCTATGGAAAACAGAACTCTGCCATGAAAGAGAATCAAAAAGAAAAAGGATGTAGACATTGGAAAAGACCACTTGGATAAGGTGACACTTATACTGAATCTCATAAGATGTATAAGTGTCCTGCAGGCAGAGAGGAGGGTGCAGGGCCCTCCAGGCAGAGGAAACCTTGAGTAGTAAGTGCAAGAGAATGAGGGTAAAACAAGGTCAGTCTCCTGAAGTGCACATACCTCCCTATGTGGCTAGAGCAGAGGGAGGAAGGGAGGCAGCAAGAGATTGAGCTGGAGAAATAGCTAGTGGGCCAGACCACCTAGAGCTCTGTGTATCTCACAGGTGACAAGTACTTTATCAAACGGTGAGGCCCTGAAAAGGGCTTAAGGAGGAGGGTAGACAGAGCATCCCTCACAGTACTGTAGAGAAGGGTCTGGAGGACTCAGGACAGGAAGGCTAGTTAGGAATGAATAGAAGAGTCCATCTTAAGAAACAATAAGGACCTAGTATACCACTGGCTGTAGAGGTGGGGAGAAATGGATTGATTTGAGACACAATTGAGACATAGATTCAACAGAATTTGACCAACTCAATATGAGAGAAAGAACAAAAAAATCCCTCTGGAGCACTGACCAAAAGTGTGTCAGCAACAGAAGGTAAATCACTGCAGCAGTGGTAGAGTGACCCATGACAGTAAGGGATTAAAGCAAAAACAGTGGGACAGGCAGAGGAACAAGAAGTAGGAGATGTTAAAGAAATGAATCCACTGTGTTTGGTCCCAAGTGGTTGTGGAGTGAGAAGAAAAGAGCATGAAGGAAGACTACTTCTCTGGTTGCAGGTTCGGGCACGCGGGTGGATGGTGGGTAGGAGGAGGTGGTGTGTGGAAGACGGGAGGAGGTCAGGTCCAGGAAAAATGCCTGGAGACACACCTGAGAGACAAAGAGGGTAAACAGTGAATGGCTAGAGGCTGAATCCAGGGAAATGCCTGCGCCTAGGTGGAGAAAGAAAAAGGAGTGATAAGTGCTCTCCCATGTTCCTGTAAAGAAGCAGAACAGTCAAGGAAGGGTGTGGGGGGGGACACTGCCAAGGGAAAAGATGGTTAACAGTGTTAAAATAGAGAGAAATAAAGGTACATAGCTGAAAAAGAAAGAAGCAAAGGTGAGATTGAAGAAACTAAGTTGACCTGAGAGTGGAAGGCAAGGCCCA